CAATTATCCTCTTGAATTGTGGACATCAAAACTCGACACACAATTCCTGTACAAGTCACACCAGTGTCAAGTACAGAAGTTAAATAACCTCTTTACTTTTACTCTACTCATACACTCTATATTCTCGTGTTTATCCAGGCATTACATTACCCCTTTTGGCCACAGCAGCCAACAGTGAGCTTATGTTCAGCTGATTATACACCACCACCACTTAAATCTTTTTAGACTCAATGATTCCCATTATAGAGTCCCCATCCTATAGAGGCCTCCATTCTTTGTTCCTCAATATTATCGATGTTAGAATACAACTTGTTTGCTTACACCCAATTTACTAAGCAATCAAGACTGCTCTGTATTAGCAATTTGACCCTTCATTATCTCCCAATTTTATGTCATATGCAAATTTTAACCAGTGATTATTTTATGTTTTCTTTCAGGCCCCCAATAAAAAAAATTAAACAGCATAGAGCCAAGAACAAATCACTGCAGAACACCTCTCAAAATGCATCTGTTCTATCGTGATTCCCCGTTTACAATTACATTTTGAGAGCTATCAGTTAGCCAGGTTTTAATTCATTTAATGTGTGCCATGCTAATTTAAATCTTTTTAGTTTATGAAAAAGTCATGAGGTACTAAGTTAAATGCCTTAGAGAAGACTAGAGCATCAATACTATTACCTTTTATCAACCAAATTTGTAATCCAAGAAAAAATATTGAGTTAGTTCAACAGGATTTATATTCCATAAACCCATTTTGATTGATATTAATTATATTACCTTCCTTTAATTCTTTATTAATAGCATGCCATATCGCCTGTTTCATTAATAGGTCAGGCTGATGGAACTATAGTTCTTTAGGTCACTTCATTTACCCTTCTGAAATATTTGTAAACATTAACTTCCTTCCAGTCTTCCAGAATGTCCTCTCTGTACCAAGATTTACTGAAAATCAAAATTAATTGTCCAGTAAGCTCTTCAACTCTTTAAAACTCCAAAATACAAGTAATCTAGGCCTGCTCATTTAAAAAAAATATTTAACTTTGAAAGCTGCTTTTAATATCCTTATATGATGCTAGTGGAATGGAATGAATGTTATTGTCATTATGTTGAGACTCCACTCTATGAGGTTTTTTCAGTAATATAGAAAAAGGTATTTGCTGAATGCTTTTTTCAGCATTTTTACTGGACCAAGAACACTGTAAGGATTCTTTTTGTTCCTAACAAACTTTAAAAACATCTTGTCTTTAGTTCTGCTGGCTATAGATTTCTCCTTGTATCCTTTTGCTACAGTTCTTAGCCTCTGATTTATATTCATTACCATTGCAATTCTTCTTTCTTCCATTTGTTTAGAGAGAGAAAGTGAGGCTAGGTCTACACTGCCGGTTTTGTGTTTTTGGTTTTTTTTAAGCTACGCAAAATGCGCTCTACATTGTGCATAGCTTTTTACGATTCTTTTGTTAGAAGAGGCTTTTCTGACATTTGGCCCATTAAGAGTGAGCCAAATGTTGGGAAAAAGCCTCTTTCAGAAGCCTCCTTATTCCTTGTGGAATGAGGAATAAAGGGGCTTCTGAAAGAGCCTCTTTGCTCTTCCGCAAAAAAAAGTGGAAGAGCAAATGCATTCCCTGGATGTGGAACAGAGGTATCCCGGAAAAACTGTATAATCTAGACATAGCCAGAGAGAGAGAGAAAAGAAAGAGAGAAGGGGAAGGGGAAAGGGAGAGAACGGAAGAGAGTGTGTAAGGGCAGCTATACAATTATATATATAATTTTCTGTTATTTTTATAGCTGCCTTTACTTCCCCTGTAAGCCAGGTTGGTTTGTTTACCAATACAGCCTTCTTTCTTAACTCTGGGATAGTGGCTTTTGGGGCATCCAATAAAGCATTCTTGAATTATTCCCAAGTATCATTCACATTTTTCTGATTAAATTCTTCTGCATAGTTGATTTGGGTCATAATTGTTTTCAGCTTTGTGAAACTTGCCCTTTTAAAGCATCAACTACATTTATTACTGGTTTCAACTTAATTCTGTTTGCACATAATAAATGTGATCAAAACATGATCACTTGTACCTAAGCAGCCTTTATTTTTTAATTCTTTGAATTGAATCTTTGTACCTGATTCA